GACTCCCATCCCTCATACATGTTGCTGTTCCTTGACATTCACATGTCCTATCCCAAATTTTGGACCAGAGGTTGTGTCTCCTGTAGCCCAGGCCTTCCCTAGTGCCTGGTACACAACAGGCCCACCACACGCATCTGCCGAACAAAGGAAAGGTCATACGTGAGTTCAAATTCCAAGCTGAGGTGTTCTCTCTTCTTCTGAGCCTTGGTCTGGCACCGAAAATGGGGCTCATAGTCCCGCCTGCCTTACAGATGCCTCGGATGGGCACTGAGGGGTCAGCACCAAGGAAGGGCCAGCCCACACCCTGTGCTCCCCAGGGGACAGGGCCCAGCCAGATCCGCGGCTGCCCACAGGTTCCCACCCGCCCCGCGCTCCCTGCCCGCTGCGGAGAGGTTGCCGCTGGCGGTGGAGGCCAGCCTCAGCAAACACATTTAAATCTGAAGTGACAGATAAAGCGATTTACGGCGACAGTTTAGCGTCAGATCGCTTCCCACAAGGCAGTCGGCGTCCCCGGGCCCTGCTTGCTAGTCCATCAAGGCGGTCTCTAAATCACCGACTCCGAGCGGTGGCCCAGGGACAGCGCGGGGGCCGGGCTCCTGGGGGCCCTGCGGCCGCAGCGGGATGGGGTGGGAGGTTGGCTGACTTGGGCTGCAGGAGGGCACGAAGCGCTGGCAGACCACAAATCAAAGCCCCAGGACTTCAGGCAACAGAGCGCCACTTCACGCCTTACGTTAAGTAAATAAGCGGCTTACAACTCCAGGGAGGCCAGCGTGTCGCTGTGAGGCATGGCTGCCCCGGCCTGCACGCCCGGCCCACGCCCGGCCCTCCAAGGCCTCCCTGACCCGCCTCCCCTCCTGCCACCTCCCGGCAGAATTAATGGGTCCCTGCGCGTGGGGACACCCTGCGTAGCCCTTGTTTCCAGCGCTTTGTCACATTATATCCTACTTAGCAGCTCTGGCTCTTGACTTCCCCTCAATAATGTCCTGAGGGCTCCCCATGTGCAGGCGTGGGGCCCAGCACTGGACCAGCCTGAGCTCCTATCATCCTCACGCCACCAGGCATGAAGCCAATGACGACCCATTTTTCAGATGAGGAAACAGAGGCTCCGGCGGATGGGCCTGGGCGCCGGCAGGAACGCTGAGATTCGGGCCCCCTCCTGCCTCTGTGCCGTGGCCCCGACTCACTGGCCGGGGACACCTTCGAAGTGAAAGGTTCTTTCTGTCTTTGCACAAAGCACCGCCTTCATCCTGCTCTGTCCTGTTATGCCTGAGGCCGGGGCCGGGGCCGGGAGCCGCCCACTGGCCACGAATGGGGTCTTTCTTTGTGCTGGGACACTTCCTGCTGTCTGTCGAGAGCTAGGGGGATGCTGGGAACCTCAGGGCATGGAGACGACCCGGTCAAGGTCATGCCCCCCTCCCCCAAGACACACAGCCCAGAAGCCGGAACACACCCGGGGTGGAGACCCCAGAACTGGAAGAGTTGCCAGGCATGGTTCTCCCCAGACTCAGCCTGGAGGTCGCAGGCCAGACACTGCCCCCCCAAATCTCTGCTCCAGAACGGGGGCCTGCAGGGACTCCCTGGCTTGTCTTGCCAGCATGGCAGCCCAATTTAATTAAGATGGATGCTGCGTGCCCCCGTGGGCAGGAGCCGTGGCTGGCACAGATGGCAGGAGCCTAAGGCTCCCCAGGCTGCTAGAGAGCGCGGGAGGCCTTGGCCAGTGGGCTGAGGAGGGTCCTGGGATGTCTGCACTGGGTCTGGGGACTTGGGGGATTTGGTCCTGCCCTGTGGCCTCGAGCCCTGCCCTCCACCGGCCAGGCAGCCCCCCTTCTATTCTCTGCCCCAGCAACCCCTCCATGTAACATACCTCACACACACACATGCCAATCACATCTCAAATACCACCGAGCGGGGTAAAAGGCAGTCCTGGGCTGCCAGTGCCAGGGACCCGTTCAGAAACAGAAGGTGACTTTCCGAAGTCCTGAGAGAGGCCGGGCGGGGTCCCCCCCTCTGCGGGGCAGGGAGGAGTGAGGCACACAGGCAGGGAGGGCCTGGCTCCTGCCCTCTCCAAGGATTCCCCAGGGTTTTCCTAAGAGCTGGGGAAATACCCCCCACAAGGCTCTTCAGCATGGAAGGGATTTGGGGGGCCCCAACCACCCTTTCTTTCATAGGCCCTTCCCAACTCCCCATGCCTCCCCCTCTACGGTCGGTCCCTGCAACTGGAGCAAAGCCCAGGCAGCGATGGCACCTTCCCCGTCCCCCATTCTGGCCACGGGGACAAAAAGAGACACCCCACAAACCCAGAAGCTCTGCTACTGACCTTGAGCCCGCAGCCCCGTCCCACCCCCGCCAGTCCCCAGGGGCACTGACCCCCACGAAGCCAACATCGCCCTTGGCTTCAATACCAAAAATGTGAACACCTCCACCCCTGGAAAATCGCTCGCTCCCGTTCCCCATTGTGGTGGCTCCACAGTCCGGCGCTGAGAAGCAATTATTCACGGCTAATGATTATAATCAAGTCAAATAGAATTTAATGGACACGCGTTCCCTTCCTGCTTGAAACTTTACATATGAATTAAGCACATATGGGTTCCACGAGGCACAGACTAGATTTATGCGGCCCGGAAAGGCCCCTCCATGCTGCGACTTTTTATTCCGCTAATAAACAGGCAGGTTTACGGGCGGTGCTGGGCGCGGGGACCGTGATCTCTGCTGCCCCCTGGTGGTGGGCAGTGGCGGCCTCGGCCAAGAGAGCAGGGCCCCCGGGATGAGGCCCCGTGCCAAGACCTTAGGACCCGGAGGTCTCAGCAGTGCCAAGGCCACCCGATCACCAGGGCTGGCCAAACACCTGGACGGGTGGCCTGGACGGGTGCAAGCGCTGTGTGGACTCCCTGAGTCCAAGGGCCAGCCTCAGCCATGCCCTGGGGCTCCCGGCAGGTTCTGGGTTCTCCCTGCTGCGAGACTCTTTCTAGAAATAAGGAGATCCCAGGAGAACTCGCCAAGCGGTGCTGGGTAAACTGAAGCCAGCAGAGGGAGGAGAACGCCGCTCATCTGTGGGAGGCACCCAGCACCCCTTTCCATCGCCGGGACAGGGCCGACGCCAGAGGAACGACGTGGCATCGACAGCAGCAGCAGGTGCTGAGGCTCCCGGTTCACGCCAGGCGCTGCGTGTGCACCACAGCTCGTGAGCATCAGCTCCTCGTGCCCCCCAACACCCCACAGCTGGGTTTCCCGCCACCCCCGCCATGCAAAGGAGGAAGCAGGAGCCCAGGCAGGTTCGGAGGAAAGGGGAGAGATGTGCAAACGCTGCCACCCCAGCCCGGTGCACTCGGATGCAGCCAGGACCGAAGTGCTCTCTGAGTGCGCGAGAGGCTGCCAGAGCCGCTGCTCTCAGAGGCTGGCAGGCACAGGGCACTCAGGAAGGGCCATTAATCACTCCGCAGCCCTCCGGAGCCCCCGCCGCTCCATCTCT